CTGCCATAAACACTATGACAGAAGCAAAGATGGCAACAAAGATGTGAGTAGCTTTATGTCCATATTCTTGTTGTTGATGTGAGTGATACATGAATTATAACTATTGTCTCCATATTCAGCCAATTTAAAGTAGACCTATGTTTGCTCAGAACTTCTCAGGGGCAGGGTCCTCTGTATCATCTTCTACTATTGAGGAACTTGTACATTTTTCACAACTTCTCTCCTGTTTGGAATGTTGCTGGGTTGTAGGAAATGGCTGAACTTTTTCATTGGCCAACAATTCTGTTTTACAAGTAGGAATAGAATCCAGCTCTGTCCCTCTGGGCTGTGTTGATGCTGCTAACAAGAATAAAAAGTAGTAAAACTTGCTACTTTCTAAAGACAACCGATGAGTCTGAATACACGCAACAGAGCTGTAGAATAAGGAGGTTCAAATTTTAATATCTAAAACTTGTTCTGTGCTGAAGGCTTGGAAATTAATCAATGCACAAACTTGTTCAGGAGACAAGCTGCTTAACGCTAATAGATTTTAAATCTGTATCAAAATCCCTACTTGCCAATGCCATGGTGTATTGCAGAATTAGCCCTGTAGCGGTTAGAGTTCAGTGGTGTCTGTTTGCTATACTTCAGTCTTTATTGTGTGAAACAGGTGTATCTGTCTCTGCTCCGGATGTATCTATCCCCACCTAGTGTTCATTGCCTGGGGCCAATCAAGATGGAACTGTTGGAGCCTCAAGCCAATCTCGAGGCTGCCCTGCAGGTTTTAGAATTGCACCACAGCAAATTAGATACTACCAAGGTAAGGATTCCTTCCTTTATAGGTGGTGGTATGGATAGTTGCTATATCTTGAATTACAATGAAAAACACAGGAGTTAAGGGTAGGCCCTGGGAGCAGATCCTAAAAGTATCTGGACCAAAAATAAATGGGACTGAGATTCATTTTTTTCTTTTTCCTACCATACCCCTTTGTCTTTCTTACAACTTGTCCTTGTCCCTTCTAGGCTATAAACCTGCTCCCAGCAAATACTCAAATTAGTGAGATTCGAATCTTCCTAGAAAAAGTCCTTGAAGAAAATGCCCAGAAGAAGCGATTCAACCAAGTACTCAAAAATCTTCTCCATGCAGAATTCCTGAGGGTTTGTACCCACCTCTTTCATCCTCATTTATCAGAGTGGATTTTCAAAAGTTCTGTTAAATGGAAAGACGGTAAAAAATTGAGCTCTTCATTACCAGTACAGGAAACTTGTCCTCTAGATGGTGGTGTAGTGTAGCCAAGATTACTAAATGCACACTAATCAGCAAATCATAACTCTGGCATTTCAGGATAGAGGGAAACTAAAGGTAGTTAAAAATACTATCCTTCTGTCTATTCAGACTAGAAAGGTGGCTGAGGTGTAGCATTACATTGCTTACCACGTTTCCATTCTCCTAAAGGTTCAGGAGGAGAGGATTTTGCATCAGCAGGTGAAGTGTATCATCACAGAGGAAAAAGTGTGCACTGTGTGTAAAAAGAAGATAGGAAACAGGTGAGTAATACTTCCTAGGAGAGCATTCTTCCTAAAGAGGCTTGTGGTACAAAAACAAATTAGTCTGGCTTATTTTTGCAGAGCAGTAAGTATGTGTAAATCCAGGAGCAAACAACTGAGGGAGAACTTTCAGAAGTGTACAATGAATTGGAAATTGTAATCTTAGCAGAGTGGCTGGAAAAAATGCCAAACCTCTTGATGCCTATGACGAAAAAAAATGAACTGCAAAATAACTTCTCTTGGATTGTCAAGCCTCCAGCATAGACACAGTAAAGCAATTTCAAGTTTCATGAGGCTTTTCTTCCAAGATTGATAGAGCAAGTAGTTGATATGCTGCCATCACCTGAGATGTTGTCTACAGAGCTCAGAACTCTGTGCAGAGTGGATGATAAGCACTATAAAAAGTTGTTTTCCATCCTGGAATCTGAAAGCTCTTTGTAAACAGGTACAATTGGGTCCATGTGGAGTGGCTCTCATTGGGGTTAATTTAATTAATGGAGATATCTCCTAGAACTGGAAGGGACCTTGAAAGGTCATGGAGTCCAGCCCCCTGCCTTCACTAGCAGGACCAAGTACTGATTTTGCCTCAGATCCTCAGTAGTCCCCTCAAGGATTGAACTCTCAACCCTGGGTTTAGCAGGCCAGTGCTCAAACCTCTGAGCTATCCCTCCCTCCATTGCACCAACAGCCTGCACTAGGTAGCTGGTGTCATTCCCGCCAGCAACCACCAGGGCAAGAAACAATTCCCCTCCATCCATCCATCCATCTACTCTCTCTATTTAGGTAACAAGGACGCCACCGCAAGATTAAGGGCAGGGGAAGCAATTGCTAGTCACTTCTGCTTCTAGAAGAAAAAAGGTCCACAGCCCAGTAACAAGCCCATCTAAACATCCCATACACAAAACCAGCCTCCTGGTTTTGCACATGGCTTCTTTATATAAATCTTTATAGGTGGTCTCTCAGTTTTGAAAGTATAATGTATATAATATAAAGGCTTTGTAAATCTGAAACCTTAAGTGTGGTGATGGCTACTTTGTGCCTCCAAAATCAACCTGCACCTTATGTGCCAATGACGTTAATACATCTGAGCAGCAGCAATGGTTTTATTTGTGTCAAAACTTCCGATAATTATTCTCCTTCCACCATTTTCATCCCTGGAGTTTTCAGGAAGAAATCAGGCTGATGTGGAGCAGAGACTTTGATGTTTCCTTCTCTCACCCAGTTCAGTGCGTCAGCTCCAAACTAAATCTTGTATATCACCTAACAACCTTTAGCTACTGTTACTGGTGGTGGGATTAATCCCCTCTAAAACCTGACTGATATTCAGAATCTGGTGGGGAATAGATCTCTCTCTGCTTGCTGCTTTAATGAGCACAGTTAACTGTCTCTGAGAGCACTGAATTATTGGTATGCATTGATCCAGTTTTCCCTGTTAAGTATTATCTTGAAGTACTGGGTGAAGGTAGGGTTAGTGTAAGCGTGCAGGATTCACCCCTGCAGCGCCTCCTGCTGGTCTCTGTTGGGAATTAGCTCTCCAGCCGTCAGAGCACCCTCTGCAGGCCGGTGATCCGCCTTACCGCTGGCCCCGTGTCCCTCCCAGGACCCCGGTGCCCCTTTCTCTGGGGTGCTGCCCCTCTGGCAGTAACCTCCAATTTCAGGGTCTTCCTTCCCAGGGGAACCCCCACCCCCTATCCCCACCTCACCTCAGTCTTAGCTACTGCCAGTCATCACTTAGCCCCCGTTCACTGGGGCAGACTGCAGTGTATCAGTCACTCATCACAGGCAAGGGGGGTTTGGACCTGCTGCTTCTACCTTGCCTACCCGTGGGTTGCCTCCTGCAACCCAAGTACCCCCTAGGCCTGCAGCCTGGGGCTTTCCTAGGCCGGAGCTCCCAGGCTCCCTTGGCCTTTCCCCAGCCCTGCTCCACTCTAGGCACTTGGTTAAGCTCTGTGCAGCCAGGCCCTTCTCTCTCTGAAGGCAGAGAGAGACTGTCTGCTTGAGCTCCTGGGTCAAGCCTTTATAGGGCCAGCTGGGCCCTGATTGGGGCATGGCCCCAGCTGAGCCTGCTTCCCACTCAGCTTGGGCTGTTCTCCCAGCCTTCCAGCCCTCTCCCAGGGCTGGTTTTAACTGTGCCAGGGCTGGAGCGGGTAGCCACCCCTCTACAGTTAGTATATACGATGTGCTTCATTTTGGGCAAGTTGGTCATTTGGATCATGCCAAACTTAGAAAAGTGATCATGTTAAAATCGCACTTTGTGGTTCCATGTTTGTATAGCAATTACTTCCAAATCAAACTTGGCTAACTAGCATTTTTGAGTCACGCTGCTGCCAAGTCCAGCTAAGTTCTTTGCTTGGGACATCACCAATAAAACTGATGCTATAATTGAAACTTAGTCAGGAATTCTCTTCATTAAGAAAGTAGCAGTCTTATGTAGTCATTTTTCTGACTGTAACAAAAATCAAACTTGTATAGTGAACAGGGAAAACTGTGTATTGATTATACTGACATTTGATCTTGTGTGCTATTCTGTTTCTTCACAGTGCATTTGCCCGATACCCTAATGCAGTAGTTGTGCACTACTTCTGCTCCAAAGAAGTCAGTACGGCAGACACCTGAAACATGTTGCCATACATTAGATGGACTGCATTAGCCACAAAACTCGCATGAAATACAGAAGTGAAGACTTGTTTAGGAAAAGTTGATGCTCTGGAGTTTTGTGGCATGTTGCTAGGAACATCTTACAAATAGCTTGTACCCAGCGTGTCTCTGGAATGACTCTACCTACAACTTGGCAGTACTGACTTATTTGAAAATTGACTTTTTAGCTGCCTCTTAACACACCAAGATGAGGAAGAATGGAAAATTGATCAGCAATGAGCTTGTATTGCACTCCAAACCTTGCAGCCTAGTTTCCGAACACTTCTATGGTGTTTACCAATGAGGGCATGTTTTAAAGTAAAAAAAAAAAAAAATTCTATTCAGGTAAAAACTTCTTGATCTGACCTTGTTTGTGGCTCACTCTAATATTCCTCAAAAGGCAAAATCCTTGAAAAGTCACTGCAACTGTATTAACACTGTATTGAAATCTTTTATCCACCAACTTGGGGGAGGGAGGGAGTAAGCAAGGGGGTGAGAGGCTCTTGTGCCTGATACTTAAACAATTGTGTCTGACTTCACCTTTCTCCCAATGTTGGGAATAACTAGATGTTGAACAAAGGAACTTTTATCTTTGATGCCAAGAGTGCTTATCAGCTCCCCTTCTGATACACAGAAGTTCCACAGGAGTTAGTCACACACTATAGGCTTCACTGATAAGCATTTATTTTCCCCTTTTTGACTCTAGTTTGTTAGAGGTATGTAAATATGAATTAGCTCACACACTCTTTGCACTGTGTACAGTCACTTCCAACATGAGTGGATGCTTTTGAGAAGCAGCAACAACTGTCTGAAGAAGGGAAGCTCTCACTTGCACTTGTACCAAAAAGAACACTCCCTAAAAGGGACTGAAATGTATCTCTTGCTTAAGCTTCTAGAGCACATTTGAGATCCCTATGCATGTAAATAGCTCTTCAGTCTCTAGTTCTCTCTCCAGCATTAAAGTGAAATACAGACTGCATTTCGATGTCTCTGTGGGCTTTAGATCAACTCCCTTCTGCCCAGGCTGGTATTGGGTTTTTTTATTTTTACTTTGGCTTGAGGATTCTAAATACACAAAACTGGATGCAGTATACTTCTTCATAGTCTTCATGAACTTTAATCTGTAGCAAAGTTGATATAAGGGTACTTGCATGTTCACTTACTGTACAAAGAAATTTGAGCAGCAGTGAATAAAGGCAGCAGTAGCACATGGTTCAGTGTAATTGAATGTGGGTAATAACATCCCAGTTTAGCCATACTTCTATAATTAAGTATTAAATGATATGGAACATGGCACACAATTATTATACACATTTTCTTTTAAAATCTATCATACTCCCCAAACAAGGAGTTGAGAAAATAAATTTTAAAAACAAACCCATCTGCCCAGAATGTCATTGAATTTCACTGTTTACATGTTTAAGTCCTTTTTTTAAACACTTTTAGCAACAGGTCTTCTGTAGGATATAATTGATCCTACCTCACCTTCACATACCCTGGTTATATAGCCTGCTCCTTCTGCCATCAGTTTTTTGTTTCAAGGCTATGGTTGCCAATAACCTTGGATGTCTTGGGTAATACTGCTGGTGGTGCCTTTCTGTAGAGGTTAGGGGAGTTCCTGTGCTGAGATGGAGTTCCTTTTTTAACTTTCTATTTGAACAAGAGAACCTAATACATGCTTGTATTCAATTTGCACATATTCTTTATAGTGTTTATCTACTAGTTCAGGTACAAGAGGAAGATGTTTTGGGAGTTGACAGTGAAAGAAGGGTATCTATTAAGGCCCTACAGTTTTTGCATACAGAAGTCAAGACCTTTCTGATATTGGTAAGGAGGATAGGTAATTCAGACTATCTGCTGCCAGTAAATCTGCACTCTCTCACAGTTGGGGTCTGTAGTGTACTCTTCTTTCACGGTGATGCTTATGTGCCTCTGTTCAGCTTTTTTGCATACATTTGCAGAGGTGTGGTTTGCGCTACAATTCTGCTGTCTGTTCTCATCCCATGGTTTAGATTTACTAGCCATATGGAAGTTTTTGTTTAAAGCAATATATTGTAATAATAAATATTGTGAACCAGTCTGTTCTTCATTTTATTGTGTGGATGATAGTAACTAGCTGAGCTGCTCTGGATTTACATATTTTCTTTCCTTTGCTCCTATAAGAGTCAGTGACACACAGTTGAGATCCCCAGTATTATTCCTATTTACCTGCTATTAGTCTTCAGAAGTCATTTTATGTTACTGAAAATAATGCGGGTGGCACTATCCTGTTTTTAAAAACCTGGGCCAAGACCCATCTTTCTTGCCTGTTGGTTCCTGAACTTGAGCACCATCTAGAGAGCTGAGGCTCTACTATTCACTTGAATGTTTTAAAGCTCATATTTTCTATCCTTTGTTTTTTTTAATTATGCTTTGAAAGTTGCTCCCATTCAAGAGGCATTCGCTCATGTCAGACATTCATAACTTAATTACTGAAGTGATTTTCTTTGAGCAAGACTTTATATTTTTAGCTCTTGCTGAGGTCTACAAAACAGTTTGGGAACATAGGTTTAAAGCTGATATTTTCCAAGGTCCCACAAGAAATCTGGCAGAGCCAGAAATAGATAGAACCCCGATCTTCTGACTTCCCCATTCCAATGCCCTAGCCCCAAGACTATTCTTCCCCTCTGCCTTAACATAGATTGTATAATGCTATTTTTTACATGAAATAGACCATATTTCTGTGGTATAATGTTTTTACAGGTGAACATATGTCAAGGCATTGGGAGAGAAAAATACATCAGTCCTGTCAGGAAATGTAAAAGAAATGTGTTCTGAGAAACTTTTCTGTGTCTTCATGTTTTGTGTAAAGTTGAGTGTGCTGGTGCTTAAACTTGCCAGTATCCCTTGTAATCTTACTACTTCACATGCCTGTCCACAACGATTTCACTCTTGGTGCGCATGTGCCCCAGGCACATGAGATTGGATTCTTTTGGCCAGCAGTGTCTGTGGCCAACCTGCACCCTAAATGCCGTCATGCACCACCATCTAAGGCCAGAATGGGTCCAAATGTGCCTCATTTGCCTCTACAGGTTCCATCTTAGTGCTAGAAGCAGTAAAAGTGTCTACTTTGCACACTGCCAATCTACTTACCCTTGTATATAATAGTGTAGTTAGTATAGCTGGCGGCAGTGTAGTTAATGAAGTTCTTTTTTGTGCTTGGCAAATGTGTATATATATTTCATATATTGTACATAGATAAGTTTTTAGTTAACCCAGACCCGTCCTGTACAGGTATCCTAGAATCATGTCAAACGCTAAGTAGCTAGGAGTTAAGACCTGCCTTTTTTATATGCTTTGATGCCCATTAATGACAGGCACTCTGCGTGCTTGCTTTGTCTCTGAGAATGTCCCAGAAAGATCTTCCATCTTGCATTTTCTCCAAGCATACCAGAGAGCAAGGGAGTTGAGGCTGAAACTTTTCCTCCTAAAGAAGCAGATGCAAACCTTCTCAGACTCAGAGGAGAGCTACAACCAGGACTCAGTCATCGGGTCTGTCTCTTAGAGAGCTGTGATTCCACTCCAAGCTCCCATTCTGTATCCACTCAGGCCCTATTTATCCACCACTATATTGGTGTCTGTCTGACAGGCAAAAAAGAGCACCAAGCCAAAGATGAGCTCAGATGCAAGCAAGAGACAGAAGGGTCGTCACCTGCGTAACTTCTCAGGCTCATACATCTAAGAGCTATAAGCCTGAGAAGTTCCAGGACTGACAGCCAAGGCAGCTTACATGGTACCCTCTAAATTAGCTGATCACACTGCCCTCGGTAATGACTCCTCTGCATTGTGTGTATATTGTGGTCCCAATACTGATTGCTCTGTGGTATCCTCTGCCTTCATATTATCTTGGCACTGAAACCTTATCCAGTGGTGAAGGACTTTTGATAGGCCTGATACTGGAGTCACCTCTAAGTGAAAACAAAGAGTTGATTTCCAAACCACCAGCCTTGGAGTCACCAGCACGCCAGGCTAGAGAGTTGTCCCCGTACCAACATCCATGATACAAAAACAGGGTATAGCTGACAGGACTGCCCCTCCCTTAGAGGATGTATACTTTTTCCTCCTGCTGAACACAGCAGAGAATTTTCTGTGTGTCTACTAACCCCTTACTGGGAGTCAAGGAGTTTTTCTAGGAGAGAGTCCATGTGGGATAATAGAGGCCTGGATTTCATAGGGATCACCATATGCTCCGACCCCACTACTCTGGCCCATTCGTGTTGTGGTATTACTGGACCTCCTGGGATGTGTAACCTTACTCCAGGAAGCCTGCTTCTACTGTTTCCATGGCTAGATCACTTCCTCAAAGAAAAGCCACTTCAGATGAGTGTGTTGGTCTAGTCACAACTTCAGAGGCAGGAGAAGTGAAGAGAAACAGCTACCAGGAGAAGAGCAGCCAAACCCTGTTGGAATAGCTGTCTCCTCCCTTGAGACTGTGAAGCCATCTACCATTGGCCTCAGCTGATGAGTTTTAAGATATTCCAGGACCTAAATCTGGTGAAATGCATGGTGGAAATCTTTTGCATCACTTTCAGAGGTATGCCTGAGAAGTGGCATAAATTTGCCCACTTAGAGCTGCAGTGGGAGGGGGTGGAATATGATTGAAAAGTGGGAATTTGGGATGGTATTCAACCAAAACATCTGCAGAGAAATTGTATCACATCTGTGCCTAAACTTAGTGATGTGGTAACCTGCAGTGGGAAAGTGTGCACCCCAGAATCCCCTTTGCCTACCCCAGATGAGGAAGAGAGAGGGAACAGGGAAGAATGCTTTGCCTGTTTGCAGGGCAGGGACACACATTCCCAGAGTGGGGGGAGACGGGGTCAGCTGCTCTTACTGAGGGAGCCTCCAAATCAGCTGGAGACAAGTAGTGTTTGTTAAAGATCAGGACACAGACCCTTCCCTAGGGGAGTGCATAATGAAAGTTCACAGCAGTGCCCCTACAAAGGAAAATAGGGGTGTCTTTTTTTTATGGAACCAGGTAGGATATACAGGGAAGCCCCAGTGATCGAGAACGGGGACCATATGGAACCCCACAAACAGTTCTTGGTGAGCAGTAAATACAGGGCAGTGTTAGTGTTTAGCCCATGACTGTCCATTTTCTGGACATCTAGGAGTAGAGAGGACATTTGAAAGGCTTCAGAAAATGTTTTTTTGCATGGTATAAATCTAGAAGTAAAGGAATACTGACCATGGTGCCCATCCTTATTATACAGGAGAGCTATGTAAATATAAGCACAATCTTGTGTGGGCCAAACAGATTCTACATATTGTAAAAAGCAACAGAGGGTCCTGTGGCACCTTTAAGACTAAAGGTGCCACAGGACCCTCTGTTGCTTTTTACAGATTCAGACTAACACGGCTACCCCTCTGATACTTGACTACATATTGTAGTAAGAGTTAGTCACCTATATTTATTTATATTTTAAATTCAACTTGTTTTGTATGTATTTGGTTGTTTCTATGTATAGTCTTGTCTATTTACACACTTGTGTAAACTAAAATGATGTAAACATGACAAAATGCTAATGAATCAGCAGTTAATATATTGTGTTAAACAGGCTGTGGGCCTTCTGAAATGCTCTGGTGGGCTATGTGCAGCCCACAGGCCATAAGTTGGGCAACCCTGCTCTAAGACCTGTGATGTGTGCCAAAAGCAGAAAGACTATAGGTCTTTAACCAGGCCTTTAACCAGCTTAAGGTGACACTCATGTCTAACCCTGTGCTAAGAGCCCCCGACTTTGCTAACCATTCCTAGTAACCACAGATACATCCGAGCGTGGTGTAGGAGCAGTTTTACGCCCATATGTTTGGGGCCAGCGTTTCCAGCTACAAACCGACCATGCTGCGCTAAAGTGGCTTCATACCGCCAAGAGAAAAAACAAAAAACTTCTTCGGTGGAGTTTAGCTCTCCAATATTTTGATTTTGAAATACAACACATTTCAATAGCTTCTAACAAAGTGGCTGATGCACTCTCCCATGAAAGTTTTCCAGAATTAACTGGTTAAATTGTCCTTGAAATGTGAAAAATATTATTAGTTTTTGCATAACCAGTACTATATGTAAAGGTGCATGTGTTTTATTAATCTGTTTATCCTAAAGTTCTAGGAAGAAATCACAGCCAGTGCGGTCCAACAGTGTCTGAGATTTGGGGGGGCATGTCATAGACAGTTAAGGGTTAATGCCTCTCTTACCTGTAAAGGGCTAAGAAGTTCACCTAGCCTAGCTGACACCTGACCAGAGGAACCAATGGGGGGGGACAAGATTTTTCAAGAGGAAGGAGGGAAGTTTTCCTTTGTTCAGTCAGTTCATTAAGTTTTGTGCTGGAGAGAAAAGATCCAGAAATCAGCCTCCTATCAGAGTAGTGAGTATTAGAGAAGAAATAAATAGGTTTATGTTTATTTTCTTTTATGACTTGTCTTGTGCATTAGAGGGATAATCAAATTGACATTTCTTTTGTGTAACTAAGGTTTTGCCCTGGGAAACATCCTCTGTGTTTTGAATCTGTTGTCTGTGAGAGAAGCTTGTATGCTCTCTCCCAGAGGTTTTCCTTTCACCTTTTTTTCTTTAATTAAAAGCCTTCTTTTTAAGAACCTGATTGATTTTTTTCCTTGTTTTAAGATCCAAGGGGGTTGGATCTGGACTCACCAGGAACTGGTGGGGAAAAGGAGGGGGGATGGTTAATTTCTCCTTGTTTTAAGATCCAAGAGTTTGGATCGGTGTTCACCAGGAACTTGGAGAAGTCTCTCAAGGCTACCCAGGGAAGGGTTATAGTACTTGGGAGGGAGATATTTGGGGGGGGAAACAGTTTCCAAATGACTCATAAATGATTTGGTGGTGGCAGCATACTAATCTACGCTGGTAATTAAGCTTAGGGGGTTCTCATGCAGGTCCCCACATCTGTACCCTAAAGTTCAGAGTGGGGGTGAAACCTATGACACAGCCCCATTGCAACTATTACCTGTACTTGGAGAAGCATTCCATAGGGTTGCAATGGACATTACTGGTCCAGTCCCTAAGCCATCCAAAAATGTGAAAAATAT